TTGGAGCTTTGAAGAAGCAGTCACGCTCTTTAACAAGAGAGATTATTACAAAAGTCACGACGCGCTTGAAGCTCTTTGGATCCGAGCTGAAGAACCAACTCGAACACTAATCCATGGAATTCTCCAATGTGCCGTTGGATTTCACCATCTCTTCAACAACGTAATCGAATTTCACCATTTCTCTCTCTCTCTCTATATATATATATATCGAATTTCGTCTACATTTGATTAATGACATGATCGTAGAACCATAAAGGAGCAATGATGGAGTTAGGAGAAGGAGTATGTAAGCTAAGGAAGATGGATTTCGAAGACGGACCGTTTCACGAATTCGAACGAGATGTTTCGGCCGTTCTTGAATTCGTTTATCAAACTCAGCTCGAACTCGCTGCTTGTAAGTTTTGAATTTAGAAAACCATTTCTGTAAGTAAAACCTTATCGAACACTCAAGAAATCAAAATTGGTTGATTGATGATAGGTTCAGAAGATATGTGTTTGACAATGGATCAATCAGACAGATCTTATCAGCTTTTGGGTGGTTACGCAGCTGGTGAGAGTATATACAGCTTAGAGACAATGGTTGATTTCAACAATGGAATGTCTGAAACAACTGTTATACTCTTCTCTCCTTCGAGCTCGTCATCTGCGCCAACACGGGTTAAGCTTCCTACACTAACCGCAACAGATAAGCATCTTCGTGCTTTTACAGGCGACGAGTGATACTAAAAGATTGATCAATACGATTATGCAAACTATATGAATAGTTCAAACACAAAGCAAAACACACAAAAAGGGATAAAATTCCTGTCTTTTTAATCATCAAAAACCAGCCATGAATGAAATTTAGAACAAGCAAAGGAACAATTTTTTTTGTTTTTCTATTGTCTTTTTGAAATCACATAATAGGAATAGTAAAAAGGGGAAGAAGCTAAAAGTGTTGAGCCTCACTTAGCCATCATAACCTTAACGAACTCTTCGTAGTTGATCTGACCATCACCATCAACATCAGCTTCCTTGATCATCTCATCGACTTCTTCATCGGTTAGCTTCTCGCCGAGGTTTGTCATCACGTGTCTCAACTCAGCAGCGGAGATGAAACCGTTCTGGTCTTTATCAAAGACTCTAAACGCTTCCTTGAGTTCTTCCTCAGAGTCAGTGTCCTTCATTTTCCTAGCCATTAGGTTCAAGAACTCAGGGAAATCAATGGTACCGTTACCATCAGCATCAACTTCGTTGATCATATCCTGAAGCTCAGCTTCGGTCGGGTTTTGACCGAGGGATCGCATCACGGTGCCAAGCTCCTTCGTGGTAATGCAACCTGCAAAGTAATCAAGGATTGTTGTTATAAAGCCATCCATTTCAATACTTACGCGAATCTACAATCAGAACAATTCAATCGTACACAAGCGAGACCAATCGCTGATTAAAAACAAAGAACCACATAGATTACACATCAGCGAACGCTTTCTATAGCCAAATCCTCAAATTCAATCAGATTTCAAACCCAAACTAACGGGATCGGTCACAATCGTAATCGATTCAAATCAAAATCCACCGATTCGAGCAGAAACTAAATCAACATGCACCGATTCGAGCGGAAACTAAATCAAAACTATCCGATACGAGATTCAACATGTACGATTAGAGAAACCTAGACAGAGAGGGGAAGAAGCGATGAACATACCATCACCATCCTTGTCGAATAAACTGAAAGCTTCCTTGAATTCAGAGATCTGATCGTCGGTGAGCTGATCCGCCATGGTAAATGCTTTTTTTTTGTTTTTGTTTTGGAGGTCCTCTCTAATGGAGGAAGAGGAAGAAAAGACGAGAGAGCTTCTGAGAGAGACGAGAGAGTGATGAACCGTTCCTCTCGGAGGGGGAGGGATTTATTTATGGTACGAAGCAACTTGAGGCTTTTATTTACCGGAATTGTTTTATGGTAAATATCGGTTATACCCTCCATTTGGGGAGTTAATTACGAGAATGCCATCAATTTGAGTTTTAAAATTTCACCGCCGGGTTGACGAGGGAAGAGATGGATCACACGTTCACGCGGTCTTTACGCGGAGCCGCGTTGACTTTCCACGTCAGCTTTTCCGCTCAGTCGCCTCCTTTGATTTTCGTTGGTTAGTTGGTCG